TAGGGTTAAAACCGTCCCAAATCACATCAATTAATTTAAAATAAGTTGATCACTTTGCTTTTTTAGCCAACCAAAGGTGCAGGATTTGCAGGAACGGATAGGGCCGGTGTGTGTAACATAAGAAATGGAGGGATTTAATATTCAGTCCTGTCTTGGTTGAATTGAAGTTGTCTTGCTCTCCTAGTGTACTGTTCAAGAGGTATTGCTGAAGAAGTTTGTTGTTCTTTTTTGCTATGCATCATCATTTTCCAGTTAATGTGATCTAGCTTATTGATAGGTTAATTTGTTGGAAATTTTTAACAAAAATGACATTTTAAGTGGTTATTTTGTGATAAAAATAAAATTTTAAATTGTTTGATTTATGGAGAATTTTTTTCTAATGGAAGATGATATCCTCATGAGTAGTGAAAAACTTCTTTTATTTTATTCAAAAGGTGCTCTAATGCATTACCAATAGGTTTTTCGGGGAGTTTTTTTTTGTTAAACTTTTGGGTGAGTTGGAAGAGAGAGATGCAAATTTGTGGAGTCGTAATTAAACACAATGATGAAAATCTACGTGAAGTGATGTGGTGATGGTGACGCTCTTGCCCTGAAGACTAGTAGAAGAAGTAAATCAAAAGATCTGCCTCAACCGACATCATTGGTGCTCACAACAAAATCCATTCATACCTTCTTTCTTTTTATTTATTTTTTTTATCCTTAGTAAGATTAAGCATTGCACAATGTAACTGCTGCAAAACAAAGCTTATGGACTTATTTTGAATTGATCGATCAATTAAACTTTGTCCAGAGAGCATTATTAGTATTTAATAATCACATTAAATGTAAATTAATTCTAACATGAATACAAAATGTGATGATGTAATAAAGTTAACTTGTATATTGTGCATACATTTACAATTTTTTTCAAGTTTAGCCTCTCTTTTTAAATGATTTTCCCTCGTAGTTGTTAACATCTACTGTTAAATTGTGCTTAATTAATTATACATTTACATTTTTTTTACCAAGTTTAGCCTCTCTTTTTTTAATTTTCCCTCTTAGTTGTTAACATTGTTAAATACTACTGTTAAATACTAATTGTACAATTATTTTTTTTTATTTCACATTTTTTTCATATTTATATTGTATTAATAATGTATATTGTTTTTTCTCTTTATAATTTTACTCAATTTTATCATTAAGTTTTTTTTTTTTTTTTTTTTTTTTTTTGAAAGCAAACGAGTGAATTAAATTACTAAAACAGATGACGAATACATTCAGGGGGAGTATCCTCCCAAACAGTAGAACGAGAGGCATGGGAAAGATGGTTTGCTGATCTTCTAATAAAAGCTCATGAACAAAGACCAATGGAATTAATGAGACTAACACAATCTCTAAGAAAAAAATCCGCATACGAGAAGGTTGTGACACTTCTTGGGAGGGCGCGCGCCACATTTAGGCAATTAGTTGTAGCAAAAATGAGTGATGGTGAGTCTACGGGTGTGAAATGTTGTCCTTGGCTCCTATGGACTCCTAATGCATCCAAACGCGAAGCGGATTCCTTGCTATACCGCGAAGGCATTATAAAGGCGCATGAGTTTTCCTGCTGCACCAAGGAAACGTCATTTGACTCCAATGTCCACCAAAATGCCTGAAAATACTCATCTTTGTTTCTAAACAAAACTCCTTGCAAAATAACACAATTTAATCATAACCTCATGAAATTTGGAATGATCTATAAGCAAAATGGCTTAGTGAAAGAGATGAAAATATGGACAAATAAGTGTTGGGTAATAAGATGGAAAATCCCCAAAAATATTAATCATACGAAAAGATTATAATTATATGGGAAAAGAGAAAACCATGAAGGAAAAGGTGGATGATTTGGAAAGTGGTTAGCACGAGTTTGAACAAATCGTTCTTTTCCTTAAAACCTTATTTGCTACCGCCAACAAGTGCTAGGAGCGAGCGTTGTAGCCTAGGTTTCACAGGATAAAACGTGCTACGATTCAGTGTTTGAGCACCCAAACAAAGAGAACACACTAGTAGAAGCAGAGTTGGTAAAGAAAGGAGTAGAAGCAGAGTAACAAAGAGAACGCACTTGGTAAAGAAAGGAGTAGAAGCAGAGTAACAAAGAGAACACACTTGGTAAAGAAAGGAGTAGAAGCAGAGTACACACTTGGTAAAGAAAGGAAAAGGAGTAGAAGCAGAGTACACACTTGGTAAAGAAAGGAAAAGGAGTAGAAGCAGAGTACACACTTGGTAAAGAAAGGAAAAGGAGTAGAAGCAGAGTACACACTTGGTAAAGAAAGGAAAAGGAGTAGAAGCAGAGTACACACTTGGTAAAGAAAGGAGTAGAAGCAGAGTACACACTTGGTAAAGAAAGGAGTAGAAGCAGAGCAGAGTACACAAAGAGAACACACTTGGTAAAGAAAGGAGTAGAAGCAGAGTACCCTCTTCAGCCTACGCATGCTTGCGCACACGAGACTTTTTTATCTCATCCTGTGCACAAGAGAAAACCTCTATACTATACAATTCAATAAGCTTAAAAAGAGCTCTTGTATAAATAGTGGGGCAAATCCTCTTTCCAAACTAATGTGGGACAAAAGATCATTTTTTCCCTTCATTTTCCAACTCAAATGGGTCTACTTTGAGAATCAATATCTCATTCACCCATTATCTGTTTTGAGCGTACAATATATCAATCTCTTCGTCTCACTACGAAGAATCCGAATCCACTTTGACCTGACCCAAATTGGAAGTGAACCTCACTAATAATTGTACCACAAAATAGTCACTTAACATGCCATTTTATGCCATTTAAAGCTATTTTTTCCAACAATAAGCACTTATCAACAATTCATCTCAACTTGTATGTCGGCCAACCCCTTGTCCCTAATCCATGTTAATGCTTCCTTGCAAGCATAGGGTCTGCCTCGCACCTCAACATAACATTTGCCTCTGCAATAAAAGCTCACGAACCATCAAGCACAATTCACACAAAAGTCAAATACCACCCTCGCATAATTTGTTAACTGCAGATCAGACACAATTTGAATGTCATTTTGAATCAATACAGTCTACACTACAAGATGGACCTTATCACCTCAATCCATGATATAACAATTGTTGGTTTAGACAACTTATCACATTATTAGTTTAAGGTTCAGTGATCTTAACAAGTTAGGGAGAAGCAAAGACATGAAAACCTAAAGAGTAAGGATAAATGGGCATGACTCATGTGGTTTGCTTCTTTGTAGATATGAGTAATAAAATTTGTTTTATTTTATTAAATTCTTGTTAAGAAATTTTGCAATGGGTTTAATAAATGCCTTTCTAGTAAGAATTTGATGCTCGTCTTATCTTGCTATTGTAAATAGAGAAAGAAATTAGATTAAAAAATAAATAAATAAATAACTATTGTATTTATTTCATCGGGTCAAAAACACATAATAAAGAAATGTAAAAAGAAAAATTTGCATGGAACATAGTTATAGATTAATCTAAAATAAATTGATAACTTTGTGATCAAGACCAAAGGTGCAGGGATTGACATCTATTGTACCAAGAGTTCATACAATTTGTGAATGAAACTGTCAATGTAATTGTCTGCGAAGCCTGGACTGAGTAGTAAATCCCTCCATTTCTTATGATTCTCTTTCTGGATATTTTCCCCCATCACAGATTTGATAGCATTGCACAGATTTTCCTTGAAAAATCTGCCATTTTCATCCTTTTCAACCTCAACACCAGCCTCAAGTTCCTCCGCCATCAGACGAGCATTCAAAGCGAAGTCGGGCCTGTTTGGTGCCACAATTATCCGGCAATGGCTCGCCAACGACTCCCACATTGATGCAGATCCGCCGTGGCTCACGAAATACCCGATTGCTCTGTGCCTCAAAATCAGAGATTGCGACACCCAACCTCCATGAACTATTGCCTTTCCCTTTACTCTCTCTTCAAATCCCTCCGGCAAGGCTTCTTCTATAGACGATGATCCCTCCGGCGGCCTGACGGCGACTAGAAACGGTAGGCCGGTGAGTTCAAGCCCTAAAACAAGTTGGTGAAATTGCTCCTTTTCAAGCTCCATTTCACTTCCAAACGCACAGAAAATTACTGAATTTGGCTCAAACTTCTCCAGCCACCTCGCAATTTGGTCGTCGAACGGCTCTTCCCTTGGCGGCTCCGGCAACAGCGGTCCCGTGCAATAGACTGGTTTACCTAACTCAGTAGCTATGTAGTTGCAGTAGTGTCCTTCCATTTCATTGCAGGCTCTGAAGGCTATTGCATCGCACCGTTTCAGCGCCTCCACAACACGATCAAACATCTTTATCCTATTGCTGGGTAGATTAACGAAACACGACAATTGATATGCTTCATGCTCTCGCAACACAACCTTGGAATCAGAAGGGAAACCCGCCGGCGGCTCCATGAAATCAGCGGCCGTTACAGCCCTGCCTTTGCCTTTACTTTTTGACATGGTTAGGGACAGAGTTAATAGGGTAGGGCTAAAAACTGTGAATTTCACAGTTTTGCATCCCATCTCCGACACTAATTCCGGGATCCAATAAGCAAAGTCATAGAACACAAGATTGGGATTTTCCATCTGAAGAAGAATGTTTTTCACCTCATCCTGCAATCCATCCAAGGCTACTTCTAGTGAACCATCAAGATTCTTTGTATCGGCTGTTGTCTCGGCACCGGGGGGCAGGCCTTCGACTTGAGGGATTGTAAGAGCACAGAAGGTTATGAGTTGTGGGTAGAGATTCATATGTTTGAGTTTAAGCAGAGCATTTGTTGGGAGTAAGAGTGAGATCCTGTGGCCTCTTTTTGCAAGATCGTTGGCTAGTTGGAGGAAAGGGATGAAGTGGCCAAATGCAAGCCATGGGAACATGGCTATGTGAAGCTTTGAGTCCTCCATCATATGCTTTCTGCTTTCTTTAACTGGTTTGGTTGTGTTGTGTTTCTGTATGCATATATATATATATATATATATATATATATATATATATATATATATATATATGCAACCAGAATTTCATTTGGTATATGAAAGCAGAAAGGTATGCCGTTGCAATGGCAACGGCACAAAATTTGGCCGTTGCCATTGCAACAGCCTGAAAATTGGCCGTTGGCAACTGCCAATGAAATTAAATTTTAGAGTGGCCGGCCACTATGAAAAAGCAGCAGTTTATTTTCTTTTTTACTGACGAGCTTTGGTTTTGCAGGAGCAAAATTTCTTCAAAGTTTCCAATCTCATTTATCAAAGTTATCTCAAGAAAATTTTACTATTTTAAAATATAGTGGAGATCTCCTTATTGGGATGCCCTTAGGAGCCGCTCAATCGTATGGATCAATTATCAATTATAAATGTTTTCAACTGCCAAATTTGTATTTAATGTGGTGAATTCAAGATGGTTGATTGAGGCAGACTAAATTTTAGAAGGAATAATGCTAGACTTTTCTCTCCTTTTTACGGCATTTTACTCACTTGCCGACAAAAGATTCGGCTTTTCCATCTGAAGAATTGACAATCCTTATGCGCATGGTGCACACGGTTACGAACGGTACCGCTTCACTAGGGTAAAATAGCGGTGTCGTTAGTAGCACCGTTTAACTCCGATCAATTTTTTTTTAAAACTCCAATCAACGAAAATTTCACCATTTTCGTGCATTTCTCTCCACCAAGCTTCCACCACTACAAAGCTTCGTCACCACTATCGCCATTTTCATCAACATTTTCGCGGTCTACTCGGAGTCACAGTTCTCGTCTTCTTCATCATCATTGTCGCCGTCTTCACCGCGACCGTGTTTGCAGTCCACTTTTCACACCATTGTCAACTGAGGATCTACTTCTTCTTCAGGTATTATGCATTTTATGGATATATAGTTCACTAATTCTGAATTTATAATTTATTAATTTTGAATATATACTCCATTCATTCTAAATACACAGACGCAGCGAACTGCCATAAGCCAAAATAGATTACCAATAACCGGTGTGGGTATATAGTTCACTAATTCTGGGTATATAGTTCACTAATTCTGGATATATAGTTCAAATTATACACAGCATAACGCCGTTAACAGCAATCGAAAATAAAAATTTAAAAAATAAAAAATAAAAATCGAACGGCAAAACGACACCGTTTTGTAACTGTGTGCACCATGCATGGTGCACACGGTTGCACGGCATAATTTGTCAAGAATTGAAGAATCGTTTTCACCTCATCATATCCTGCAACCCATCAAAGGGTAATGTTAGTGAAGCATCAAGATTCTTTGCATCGGCTGTTGTCTCGGCACCGGGCTGCACGAGGGAGATTAAGAGAATGGAAGGTTATGAGTTGTGGATCCTGTGGCCTCTTTTTGCAAGGTCATTAGCTAGTTGGAGGAAAGGGATGATGTGACCAAACGCAAGCCATGCAAACATGGCTATACGTGAAGTTTTGTATCCATGAATTTCCTGCACTTGAGACTTTCTTGACTTTGCATTGATGAATTGGTGGTCTAATGAATTTGTTGAATTAATGCCTTTCAGGCAAGAATTTTGATTTCTCATGTCGCTAGTGTAAACAGAGAAAGAAACTAGGCAGAAAACAACTATTGTATTTATTCCCTCAGACGAAAAATACATACTATAAGGAAATGTAAGAAAAGCTTCACAATTCAGCATTGATGTTGGCATGTTTTGTTTAGAGTAGCAAAAGCAAATGGTTGTTTGTAAATACAGAGTTTGTATTCGAGCCTATAAAAGAATTCCAGACAAGTATATTCAGACACTAAACGAGAATCTAAGAGTATACTAATTATGAACACTAGGTACTGAATTCCCAAACCTGGTCGTCGCATCATTCAACTAGGAATTCCCTAATAGAGCCAGGACTGGACAGAAGGTCAATTGGCTTACCAAGTGTGTCTTTCAGAATTGTGATTTGACCTTCTTTGAGGAGTATGTCTTCGTCTAGAGTCTCTATCTTCTTCTTTAACAGATTGTTTTCGGAGTTCAGCAACATATGGCTTTCGCTGTACTGCTTAACCTCCTCCCAAAGCATGTCTCTCTCTTGAGATACTTTTGGCAGTATACCCTTCACCACTGTTAATTCCTTCATGCATTCTTCGAGATCATTCTGGAGCTTTTTGATATTTTCGTCTTTCTTGAGAATCTGTTGGATAAAATGGAGAGGGGATGGGGAAGGAGCTAGGGATTACACATTTGGGAATCAAAGGTATCTCATATTCAAATAAGTATATTTAAGTTCATTCAGATAAACAGCAAAGAACGTATGTGATAATGCAAGAATGGAATGGTGTTTAACATAGGATGAACATTATCAGTTATCATGCAACAAGGAACAGCAAAGGTAATGATACAAATACAAAAAATACCAATCATATCGCATCACCATTAATCTTTACCAAATTTTAATGAATCTAATAATGCTGAACACAGTAGAATATTGAGCCTCTGATCATCCTCAAGATCCTATAGTTCGAATGCTGAACTGGTATGCTCTATAAGGTAACAGTTATTTACTATCTTTAAATCAAACAGAAATATGATGCATTTATGTGTGCTTGTTAACATATAATCATTTGTTCAATCAAACAGTTATACAACTCATTCAAATCCAACAGACAATTTAGCTGCACAGCACGTACTCATCCATTCAAAACTATCATAAATTAAAAGAAAACAAAATTCTCAACAGATAATTGAGAAGAAGAGCCTTTGGGAATCAAAATGGAAATCAATATAAAAGATTATTAAATTCGAGATATAAGTCAAGAAAGATACCATCTTGGGTAATGAAAGAATATGCACAGACATGAAAATGTTAGAGTATAAAGTCAAGTGATTAACTGCAACTTGTGTTATGCACATTTATGCAATTAAATTGGGTTAGCATAAATTTCCATCAAAGAAAGTAAATTACTGCTATTGACGGCTTACCTGAAGTTCAAGATTTTTGGTCTTGTGAGTTACACAGGAAAGGTTATCGCGTGCATTTTGCAATTCACATTTGAGCATGTCATTACCCCTGACAGCAGTTGCCAGCTCAGCCTGAAGTTGTTCCATATCCAACTCTTGGATATAAAGCTTCTCACGCAACAGATTTGTCAGTAATGTCTCTGATTTGAGCTCTGACTGCATTATGTAGCAAAGATTACCACAAGTATTTAAAAGAAGATATCACAGTAAAGACCATACAGACAACTTATTGAAAAAAAAAAAAAAAAGTATCACTACCAACTTACTTCAAATTTCTGGTCATCTGATTGGTGTATCTTATTCTCTAAAGTGGAAGGCTGAGACTTAGACTTGCCAGTGCAAGACTTCTCATCTAGCACAACAGACACATTCTTTAAGCTTCTTGCTAAGTTTTCTAGCCCCCTCTTAAAACCTTGGAGCTTTACATCAGATTCAATAGCAAACTGACCCTGTAATCCTCCATCTAGAGTACACAATCCACCCTTTGACATGTCTCCAGTAGTAGATTTGGTGTATTCTAACAACTTTTCACAAAGAAGGGTGCTGTCTTTAAGCAACAATAGCCCTTGATTCTGCAAGCAATTAACACGATTCAATAGTTCCTGATCTAGCCTCAAAGTTAATAAGCCAGCATCCTGACCACTTCCTTTTAGGCGACTCAACAAGTGTATATTCTCATGTCGAAGACGATCAACTTCAAGCCTGCAGGATTCCAACTCCTTCCTTAGAGTACACTCCATTCCTACCAACCTTATTTGCTCCATTCGTGACTTCATTAATTGGTTGTCAAACTCCTCTGCAGAGCGTTTCTTGTTAATTTCCTCATAGAAAAGTCGCAAACCATCAATTGTCTTTTCTTGTTCATTACAGGTCCTCTGTAATCTTGTAATAGACCTGTGCAAGTCCTTACACTCTTTCACCTTCTCCTCACAATTCCTTCGGATGCAATCTTGATCTTCCTGTACTCCTCTGTACTTTTCTTGAAGTTCAGAAAAATTTTGCTGCAAATTTTGATTCTCCTCCCTTTCTTCCTCCACTCTCCTTACAAGGTCATCAAGCTGTTTTTCTAAATATGAAATCCTACTTTTGTTGTCCACCTCCTTCTCACCGAATGAAGAGACTTCCCTTTGAAGAGAAACATTTTGCTCTGCAAGCTCCCTAACCCTGTCACGGAGTCTATGTTCCTCTGTATGATACCTCTCAAGCTTGAGTGACCACTCACTTGATCTTCTGTCTAGTTCCTTTTCCAGTGAATACTGTAATTCATTCTTCTCCTCTTCCAATCTTCGCTTCTGTGAATCTAGTTCAGCTCTTAATAGTTTCACTTCTTCTCTAGCCGAAGCTCTCTCAGCAATTTGACCTTGCAAGGCAGCTGAAACCTCACGGGCCATTTGCACCTTATCCTCTATCAAACTTCTGATTTTCTGGATCAATGTTGGAACACTGAGCCCTCTACTCTGAAGAAAGTTCTGTTCTTCAAGATCTTCAGAAAGCACCATCTCTCGTTCCTCAGCATCTTTAAATTTTCTAAATAATTCCAAATCAGAATCTTCCTTGGCATTAACATTGTCCATGGTGCTGTAATTAACACCAGAGAAAATTTTCCTTTCTTGGAAGGTTGTCATTTCTTCAAGGTGATACTCACTGGTTGCCTCATTTAACCCATCAATCAGATAATCTTTTTGTGAATTACCATCAAGATATGAACTAGGATATCTGCTTGCACTCCCATGGTAGATATCTTCAATTGTAATTGGAGTATCAGCACCATATTCTTTTTTACTTTCCTGAGCCAGCAGTCGAGATTGAGAAAGTCTCTCAACCACTTTCTTTGCAAGTTTTCTGGGAGATTCATTACCAAAACCATTCTCCATCAATTCTTGAAGTTGAGGCCCTCTAGCTTCTCCGAAAGATTGAGCTTTTGGGTTCTGTTTATTAACATTGGGTAGTGAAGCAGCTGCTTTGTTCTGAGATCTTGGAGGCAGTTGAACACCACCGCATCCAACATCAACATGATATTTTATAGAAAAGTCACTTGTTAATCCACTTTTTTCCTGTTCTTGCTCCCCATCA